TGCATGTGTGTAAGATATATGTAAACCGATTATACACATATCAGTTACACATGGCCGTGTAAAGCTGTTTTCTCATCTGTAAGGCGAGGGACCTAGAACCCCCACCTTAGAGGGTGGATGTGAAGTGGTTACCAGACAAAGGGCTTCCTAAGTGTCGCTATTAAATTGCACTAATTCTTTCACCACTGGAGAAGGGCGCTTTTCATTTTTGGGTCTCAGTTTCCACATCTCCAAATGGGGGGAAGTCCTAGTGCGGAGGGCCCCTGTGGGGTTTAAGGAGAGAGCAGGAGGTCCCTCGGTTTCCGCCGGCGTGCGGGGCAGCATCGCCCGGGAGGCCGCCGGGCCCGCCCCCCGCGAATCCGGTCCGGTCCGGGGGTCCGCACCTCGGGGGAGCTCGGGCCGGCGCCGGCACTGCGGGTGGGGGGCTCGGTGGGGTGCTGACCAAGGGCCGGAGCTCCAAGCCCGGCACGCAGCAAGTGCACGCTCCGAAACTGCTGGCGGCGGCGCTGCAGTTACTATTACCTAAACAACAGCGACAACCGGAGCAGCTCGGACGGACCGAGCCGCGCGCACCACTCCCCTGCATAGGTGCTGTCCTCGGACCCAAAGTCTGGGCCGGGAAACTGAGGCAGGGAGGGGCGAGGAATTCCCAGACCCTTCCGGGTCCCTCCCGCGATCCCGGGTGCGTGATCCTCCCCACGACGAAAACCCGGCGGAGTCACCGGCGGCCACGTGACGGCAGCTGGGGACCCGCCGCAGTCGGCTCCGGGGAGAGCACGGTCTGCGCCGGAGCGCCTCGCCGCCCCCGCCCGGGCCCGCGGGACCACGCCCCTCCGCTCCTCCCGAGGGATTCCGGGCGGGTGGGGTGGCGGGGAGGAGGGCGTGGAGGGGAGGCAGGGCGAGGCTCGGAGGAGGAGGGAGGAGGGGGAGGGCGCGTGGAGGGAGGAGGACGTAGGTAAGGGGAGGGGCTTGGAGCGGGACGAGGGGAGGGAGGGGCTTGGAGGGAGAAGAGGAGGGAGGGGCCTGGAGGGAGGAGTAAGGGGAGGGGCTTGGAGCTGGACGAGGGGAGGGAGGGGCTTGGAGGGAGAAGAGGAGGGAGGGGCTTGGAGGGAGGGGTAAGGGGAGGGGCTTGGAGCTGGAAGAGGGGAGGGAGGGGCTTGGAGGGAGAAGAGGAGGGCGGGGCCTGGAGGGAGGGGTAAGGGGAGGGGCTTGGAGCTGGAAGAAGGGAGGGAGGGGCTTGGAGGGAGAAGAGGAGGGCGGGGCCTGGAGGGCGGGGTAAGGGGTGGGAAGGGGAGGAGGGAGCGGAGAGGGAAGGGAGGTGGAGGGGCTGGCAGGGAGGAGTGGGGAGGAGGGCGGAGGGCGGTGCGGAGAAAGGAGTGAGGCGACAGGGAGGAGGATGGAGGAGGAGCGGCTGGAAAGGACCCGACGGCAGCGCAGCCGCAGTAGGAAAGAAGAGGAGGGGACGTAGAGTCAGGGGCGGAGGGGCGAGGGGAGGGGCGCTGAGGAGGAAGGTGGAGGGCTGGAGGCCGGAGTCGGGGGGAGGGGGTGAAGGAAGGGGAGCTGGAAAGGAGGTTGGGGAGGGCGGAGGCCAGGTGAACGGTGAAGCGGAGGAGGAAGGGGGGGAAAAACGGTCCGGAGGCGCCAGGTTGGAAACGGGTGGGAGCGGGGTGACTGGCATCACCAGGTCCGCCTGGGCTCGATCCCAGCTGCGCGTCCTTGGACCAGTGTTGTCATTTTCTGAGCCTGGGTCTTCTCCCCTGAGGGGAGGCTGCGTGTAAGGGAACCGCCGTGGAGGGCTGCTCCGTGGGCCGCAGGGCCAGTCCACGCAGCCTCCGACCCGGGGACCTCCAAGGGGACCCCGCAAAGCCGCGCTGTCCCGCACACCTTGTGCGCACGTGCAAGTAAGTGCCCGCGTCCGCGCCGCCCGCTGTGGCCGGCGCGGCGGTGGGACTGAACTTTTAGCTGCATTTGATTTTAGTTAATATAAGTTGTCATAGTTACATGTGACCCCGGCTGCTGTGTTCAGCTTTGCAGCTCTAAAGCCTTAGCTGTTTGTATTGTATATGCTAAGCCTCTCGTATTTTGTAACAGTTTGATGGGTCCTCGTGAAGACCCTACAGCACCAACAGTCACAACGGCAATACCTCATTACTGGGTCTTTATGAAGTGCCAGGGACGGTTGTAATGTTGAGCCCCTGACGTGGAAGAACCCACTGGGTCCTCACAGTGTCTCTCTGGGGTGTGCGCTCTTACAGTGTGTCCTGACAACCTTCACTACTGCTGTCACTTACTGTGTGCCCTGTGCCAGGTACCCTGAGAAGCCCTTGGCACATATAATGTGATTTAACTGCAGGAGGAGGAGGCTTCTGCCTAATGAATTTGGGAAAGGCGGCCGGAAAGGGCCAGCAAGGTGGGGACTAGCGTGTGGTTGTGAGTTGTCTCTACTTGGATGGGAGCTAGAAGACCCTGGAAGTCACGGAGAAGGGGACAGAGCAGAACTCACCTGCCCTGAGGGCTCCATCTGTTGCCCGGGGCACCTGTGTGGTCCTACATCGCCTCTTCCCATGAACCAGCTTTTGGGGTTTTTCCCAGGTCATTGCTCCTTCCTCTCCTCTGCCCCCAGCCCGCTTTCCCTTTTCCTTTTAAAACTTTCTCGTTTCGGATATTAAAAATGGCCACCTATTTGTTGCAGCTCCTGCGATATATCAAGGGTTAGACTCTGTTTTCCCGTTCCGCGAATCTGTGCTGAATCTGTGGCTTGCTTTGGCTAATAGGATATGGCGGAAATGATGGTGTGGGATTTGGAAAGTTTAAACCTTCTGATTCTATCACCAGTTCCAGCATGTTTCCCCCCCCCGCCCCCCCAACACACACACACCACCAAGCAATCATCTGACACTAACTGGGTGCTGGAGACCCTATCTACCCGGAGACAGTATCAGTTTGAAATCAGTAACTATTTCAGATAGATTTCCGTATTGGCACTCCAACCGCCAATGTATAAGAAGGCCTGTCTCAATTACTGCCTCATCCATCAGAGGCAGTGACCTTGAGCTCCTGAATTTTTGGATGGAAGAAGGTCAAAGTGTGTGTGGGGGGTGGAGATTATGCACGGCCCCCCAATGTCGTGTCTCCACTTCTTCCACACTGCTAGATCCCCTAGGTTTTAGCTGCATTTCCCAGCCTCCCTTGCAGGTAGGTGTGGCCAAGCGACTAGCTTTTGATGGGTGAGGGGCCTCCGGAGGCATCAGGTGAGGGCTTTCAGGCAGAGCACTGCCGCCTTCAGATTCTGGTTTTGCCACCCTCCCTGCTAAGGAACCTTGGGAGGGCTCCTGGGTGGCTCAGCCGACTTCACCTTAGGCCATGATCTTGCGGTTTGTGGGTTCAAGCCCCGCATCAGCCTCTGTGCTGACAGCTCAGAGCCTGGAGCCCGCTTCGGATTCTGCGTCTCCCTCTGTCCCTGCCGCTTCTATCTCTCTCTCTCAAGAGTAAATACTAACAAAAAGGAACTTTGGGAAAGGGACTTAATTTTTGTACACATCAGTCTCCCCATCTGTACAGTGGGGGTAGGGATAGTATTATCTAACGTACAGTGTTGTTGTGAAGGACACATGGAGTCATACAGTGGAGCATGGAGAGCAGTTCCTGGCACAGACGTACTATATGTGTGGCCATGAGCATCATAATTTATTATCACCTCCTAAGCTTGGTGGGAGGTTTAAGTGCAACTCCGCTCCGTGCCTAGTATCAGAACAAGCTTCCCTAGTGTTTATTGGTCTCCCAAGACCAGGGAGAGATGCTAGGGGGGAATTATATCCATCCATCTATCCGCCCCCCCCCACAACACTAAAGGACATTCAATAGATTTTCCATTTCCTTCATCATAGATACTTATTTGCCCAATAAATATTTGCCAAGGCATGAAGATTCATAGGAGGGACCTTTCTTTTGCTCACATTTCTTTAAAGAACTGCCTGTAGAGATGCGGATGTTTATTTATAAGTGATCACCTGCTTTCCAGAGAAGGTGAGAGGTGGGAAAGAAGTGGAGGAGAAGGAGAGGCAGGTGTGGAGCTGGGATTCTTTTCACTGCTGAATTCAATGTGGCGCGAGGCGGCTGGTGTTGAGCACAAGGGCGTGGAAGAAGGGAGGGAGGAAATAATTGGGTCAAGGAGGAGCCCGAGGTTTTTTTCCCTTCTTTCCCCTTGAGTAGTGGGAGAGAGACTAAGAAATAAAGCGGGCGTCTGATATATGAAGACTTCTATTTCCTGCATCCTTTGACTAGCAGGGATCTCAGGGGACCAGAGGCTTCCGGGTGAGCAGGGAGCCTTTCACTCAATCAGTCCCCAGCACGTCCTCTGTGGCAGACACAGCTCTAGGAGCTGGGAATCCAGCAGTGAGCAAACTGAAGCCCCTTGTCACCTGGAGCCCCCATGCTAATTTCTGAGTGGGTAAGAAGCAGTGAGGTGGGGGTGGGGGGGTGGCTTCAGCTTTGGCAGTCGGGGAGGATCTCTGTCAGAAGGTGACATTTGAGCAGAGCCCTGATTAGCAATACTCCCAGTAGGAGAGGAAACCCCGCTGTTTCTGGGTTGCTAATTTATTGAGACTCTCCAGTGGCAGAGACCGAGCAGAGCGTACTTACCCTGTCTTATCTGAAACCGGGACCCTCCAGGTACCTTTCAAAAAAAACTAGTGAAATCACACAAGCCTACAGGGTAGCATCGAAAATAAGACAGCATGCCTTTCATGTATTCGACACTCAGATTTTTTTTAATTACATAGGTACATGGCTTTGATTTTAAAAAGTAGTTTAAGGGGCACCTGGGTGGCTCAGTCAGTTAAGCATCAGACTTCTGCTCAGGTCATGATTTCTTGGTTTGTGAGCTCGAGCCCAGTATCAGGCTCTGTGCTGACAGCTCAGAGCATGGAGCGGCTTCGGATTCTGTGTCTCCCTCTCTCCATGGCCCTCTCCTGCTTGTGCTCTCTGTCTCGGTCTCTCTCTTTCTCTCTTTCAGGCACCTTCAGGAGATGTACATACACACCCCCCTCATCTCATCTGATCCTGACAGGGCCAGCAAACAAGGGAATCAAATGGTAGGACCCTCTTTCCCTCTACACCCGAGGGAGGGTTTCCATGCCAATCAACCGTCTCTCACAGATGGAAAAGAGAAGACAGGTTGGCTCCCCACGAATGGATCTGGGCTGCTCTCTGGGAGAAGAAGACCCCTGAGGAGACCTAGTGTAAAGACTGAACAAAGTTGACACAGCCAGCCATGGCCCAGCCCCCCTCCCCTCAGGAATGTGCGATCCCTGGGGGTGAGACTGGGGAGGAGAGGTGTGTCTCCTGATGGTGACGAGCCTCCAGAAGTAGTCTGCCCTGTGCAGCGGGACAGGGGCGGGCTTTAGAGACAGTCTCTCAGGTCTGAATCACAACTCTGCTATTTACTGCCTTTGTGAGCCAGATGACTATGACCTGTGTGAGCCAGGTGACTCGGTTTAATAGCTGTCAGAAGGCATTGGGAATTGGGAGTGAGCAAGACCGTTCATATCCCAGCTCTCAGAGGGGACTCACCTTCTCTGAATCCCTTTTTAAAGAGTATTATTTTATTTTATTTCTTGACAGTTAATAAGTAAAAACATTTTCTTTGTCAAAGGTCAAAACATATTGATAAAGCAAGACTTCCTGCCTGTCTCACTTCATCAACCCCGGCCGTCTTCTCTGGAGGTGAGTAGCTGGTGGGTTTGGGGGGCTCTGGAGGATGCTTTTCCTTCTCGTGCACATACATGTCTGTACCCATAGAAGTAGATGCAGTTTTTGTGTGCATGTCTGGAAATGCGTTGATTCACTCTCTTTATCCATAGAACAAGTCTGGCCAATATTACCCATCCCGTAATAAGAATGCCAAAAATATATAAGTCTCTTCCTATGATATATATACTATTATTATTGAATACACTTTAATAATTAAACCTATGTATCATATTTGATGCTAAGGTGCACTTTTTTTACATTCTAATATCTCTGACATTGAAATATGCCTTAATATTATATCTTTGGATTTGAGGATTTTAACTTTTTGAGCAAAACCGTCACATTCACAGCACACCACTGTGAAATTAACCAAATATAACAAGGCCACTCTGTCTAGTCCTGATCCTCAAAAAATAAAACACTTCCTGTAAACCTATAATCCATGGCCAAAAACTTAATCCCTAAGTTTAGCCTAGCTGAGATTTGAAGATATGTGTTCCAGCAGGATAATCATTTAACAAAATTACTGCCTTTTTTTTTTTTTTATCATGAGTGAACAAATGTAGCCTTTAAGATTGGTAATCTTGTGAGCCTTTTCTCTTAAATGCTTGTTGTGTCCTAAATTTGGCGAGCCTTTATGTACACATCTATGTGTCCAGCGAAAATATTCAGCACCGTTGTACATGTTGTTGGGTTTTCATATGAGGGATGTCAGACTGCTTCTGTGGTTTTGGAACCTGCTTTTTTCCACACAGTATGTCCATGTGATGGTGTGTCTTCAAGAACTTTCCATATCAATCCACCAAGATCTACTTTATTCTGTAAAATGAGAGTAATAAGATCACCCAAGTGACAGCATGGAGGAGGGCACATATTTCTCTAAGCAGACTCAGCAACTCTGCTGTTTTACTATTTCACCCCACACCCCCAGGTGACTAGCAACTTTAAGGTTTTAGGCAACTAGGTGAATTTTCTCACTTCAATCATCCATCTTTCCCCTGCAGAATAAATTGAACAGTTTTCAGTAGTGGTAAAACAGAAAGGTCTTTGGTGACAGGTTGCCCTGGTTAAATCCTGGCTATTTACAAGTTGAATTTGGGCCTTTCCCAAGTGTGAGGCTCCCAAATGATCACTCTCTGGAAATAACCTTAATGTCCGGCAGCTGTGGGAAGGATCACACAGCTAGATGTAGCCACATAGTGGGATCAATTCCCTGGAGTTGCTAAAAAGAATGAAGTAGATTCTCTTCTTTGTGGGCTAATCCTCATGGATAGGATTCCTTGTCTGATGCCACACATCCCTGTCTTCTGGGCCACAGCCAAAGGACCAGGGTGGGAAACAACAGATCACCAGCCTATGGAGTGTTCTCATAAGAATTCATGATTAGATGATTCAGCTGGGAAGACCATGGGCTGCATCCAGCCAACTGATATGTTGGTTCACTCATCTTCTTTTTAATTTAATGAGTTGCCATCATTAAAATATTGGGAAGGGCACCTGGATGGCTCAGTCAATTAAGCGTCCGACTTTGGGTCAGGTCATGATCTCACAGTTTGAGTTACAGCCTTGCACTGGGCTCTGTGCTGACAGCTCAGAGCCTGGAGCCTGCTTCACATTCTGTGTCTCCCTCTCTCTATGCCCCTCTCCCAGTCACACTCTGTCTCTCTCTCAAAAATAAAAAAACATTAAAATATTGGGATATTTTGGGGCAGTAGTCTGGCTCAGTTGGTAAAGCATCTGACTCTTAATCTTGGGTGTACAAGAGTTTGAACCCCATGGTGGGTGTACAGATTACTTAAAAATAGTGATTAAAAAAATTTAAAGATATTGGGAGGGGGCACCTGGGTGGCCGAGTCAGTTGAGTGTCCGACTTTGGCTCAGGTCATGATCTCATGGTTCGGGGACTGCTGTCAGTGCAGAGCACACTTTGGATCCTCTGTCCCCCTTTCTCTATCCCTCCCCCACTTTACCTCAAAAGTAAACATTAAAAATAAAAGATACGGGGATGTTTTGTGTTTACAAACATCAACTTTTCAGTCATTCAGTCCTTCAAAAATAAAAACAGTCATAGAACATCCAGTATGTGCCAAACAGTGTTTAAAGTGTTAGAGGCTCAGGAATGAGCTAGAAACACAGTTCCTACCATCATGGAGTCTACATTCTAGAAGGTGATGCAGATAATAAGCAAGAAAAAAATTGTGTGTGTGTGTGTGTGTAATGTAATGAGCTCCACTTCTTTAGGGAATTTGGAATGTCAATACCCACTATGCCAACAACTCCATGAGAAGATAGAAAAGTAGCTAGGAGCCAGGGATATCTGGGTGGCTCAGTCAGTTAAGCGTCCAACTCTTGATTTTGGTTTAGGTTATGATCTTACAGGTCAGTCAGTTAAGCACCCGACTTGATTTTGGCTCAGCTCATGATCTCATGGGTTCATGGGCTCACGCCCCATGCTGTCAGTGTGGAGCCTGGTTGGGATTCTCAAGCTCCCTCTTTCTCTGACTCTCCCACATTCATACACTCTCTCTCCCTCTCTCAAATAAAATAAATTTTTAAAAAATGGATAAGAGCTAGACTTCAGTGACTTTGAGCTGATCAAAGAGCTCATATCAGAGGCTTGAAGCTTCCTACTTCTTGAAATGGTGTGGAAACCATCCCCTTAGGGGAAGGGGATGTGCCTCCAACATCCTGGATGTCCCCTGCAATAGCCAACACATAGTGGGTGCTTTACGAATGTCTGTCTCTTGAGTGATAGGGGGAGCTGTGGCTTTCCTGGTGACCAGATTTTTGGGAAAAACAAATTTATTCATTCGTTCATTCATTAATCCCACAGTGGTTGGATTTTATGCCAGAGAGTCATTTTTTAAGAACTTGGACAGTTCAAAACCCACCTAATTTAAGACCAATCCTAACAGAAGGTGGTTGGTATGTCTCTTTACCAGTGAGAGTGATATTAGAATAACAAGCATAGTTTACAATGTTCACAATTGGTCATATTCAAAAGTATGGATTTTTAAGGAATTTTTAAATTGTGAGGCTTCTTCTCATCTTTTCTTTTAAAAAAATGCCCCCCCCCCCCCGTGCTCATGATTTCACATGTTTATAATTCAGGTTAGCATAAAATATAGTCATGTTGTATTTATATAAATCTACAATAATATCCTTCTTGTGACCCCACTTCACATCATAAGAACTAAGGCCTTTCCAAAAACTCACCTATATCTGTACAGCAACTCCTCTGTTTCCCCCCAGCCCAAGGTAACCATCAGCCCGAATCCTGGGCACCTTTCCCTTGTTTTGCTTTTTGTACAATATCCCCCCCCCCCCGGAGATGCTTTGGAAACTCCGTGTTAATGATTCCAGTCAGACTGTAGCCAGGGCCTACTGTCCTAAGAGTCAAAGCTGCCTGTTAGAAATGACTCTGCAGTTTTCGCCCTCCTCTGCTTTCATCTGTGCTCCCCACAGCCAGAGAGTTTTGTTTCCAGGCAACGACAGGGATTTTCCCAGGCTGATGCAGATAGGTTCTTTGAAAAAGGGAGAGGAGGAGGGGGGAGGGGGAGGGCGGTAAGAAGGGGAGATTGAGAGATGGAGAGAGAAGGGTAGAGAGAGCCATCTCCAGCTAGTCCGCTGGGGATTCAGCACCGAGGACAGCTCAAGCAGGCCGGTTCAGCACCACGGACAGTTCCATGTAGCTGCTGCCTCCGCCACATACATGAACTCTTCTGAGCAGATTCCTGGACCCAGCCGTCACCCCGAGTTTCCGAATGCTGGTATCTGGGTAACCTAGGGGCTCCTGGTGTTAACCTCAGAAACACAGGCATCGAATATTTAACATGCCCCAAAGAGGGAATTCTGGATTTTCTCACACACACAAAGTTGGTCTACTCACTTCATTCACTATAGAGCACGTACTTGCTCAGACTGAAAGTCCAAAAGTCTGCCTTGATTCCTTCGTTTTTCCTACCCCTCACATGCCATCCATTATCCTCTCAGCGCCGCCGCTAAAGTGTATCTTGCATCTGTCCACTGCCGTCCCCCTGCTGTCACCGCCTCATTCCAGTCTACCATCATGTTTTACACGATTGATTGCAACAGCCTCCTCACGGATCTTCCCGTTTTACCTCCTGCCCCTTCTAGAGTTTCCTCCACACAACAGTTTCAGCCATGCCTTGAAAATGGAAACTGGATAATATCACACCCTTCCTCAGTGCCTGTCCATAATTTCCCAATGCAAAACAATAACATTCAAAATGTCACTGTGGCTTTCAAGACCCTGGATGGCTATCTGATCCTATATCCTGTTACTTTCTCCCTTGCCTGACCACTCTGGTCACATTGGCCTCCTTGTTGTTCCTCAGGGCCTTTGCACCTGCTGTTTTTTCTACCATGAATTCTTGCATAGCTGTCTCCTTTCAGGTCTTATCTCAAAATACCACTTTTTCAAAAAGACCTCTCCGGACCACTCCCATCTAAAGTGGCCTCACAGTTACTATCATGCCAGTCTATTTTATGTAATTCATAGAATTAACACAAACTATATTTTGTTCTATGTTTATTGGTTTGTCTGCTTCATTTCACTAGACTATAAATTCCATTAAGTCACAGGCCTTGACTGTCTTGGCACTCAGAACGATATCTGCAACATAACAGCTTTTTATTTTTATTTATTTTTAAATCGTTAATGTTTATTTTTGAGAGAGAGAGAGTGTGTGTGCGTGAATGGGGGAGGGGCAGAGAGAGAGAGGGAGACACAGAATCTGAAGCTGGCTCCAGGCTCTGAGCTGTCAGCACAGGGCCCCAACAGGGGGTTCAAACTCATGAACTGCAAGATCATGACCTGAGCTGAAGTTGGATGCTTAATTGACTGAGCCACTAAGGTATCCCTAGAACAGATTTTTATTTATTTTTATTAATTTTTAATGTTTTAATTTATTTCTGAGAGGGACAGACAGCGTGAGCAGGGGAGGGTCAGA